CTTGGATCAGCTCAGTGTGTTCAAGAGCTGCAGAAGCCATGTGTCGGAGGTTGATAGTCCTCCTGCCCTGGCACTTCGATTAGCGAATTGGCCGTTCTCGGTTCGCGAGAGGGCGTCGCGGCCGTCATTTTGCGGATGCAGGTCCGTAGGTTTCGGTCCTAGGCCGTTTTCATTAAAGGGTGATTTTCTAAAAGGAGGTTTGTCCACCGCCGAATGTGAGAGCCTGGTGGGCAGGGAGGCCAGTGACCTCCGCGCTGGCAGAGCCTGGCGCCGAATCCCATCCCACACGGCTGGCAGAGCCTCGCGTTTGCGAGTTGTTCCGTCGATTGTGACGAGCCGCTTGGCCGGAAAGCCTGGACGACATCGGACATCGCCGGGCGTCGCCAATTTGAGTCAGCTCGCGTGCGTGCCTCGTGCGAAACGATCGCTTGAGCCTGAACGACCTGCGCCAGGGCTGTGGTGTCATAATTGGTGGATGTGTGGTGCTGGTCTTGCGGAATGGTGGGCAGTGGTGATCTGCGGTGCATTGTGACGGCTGTGCAGTGAATTGTGGTGATTTGTTCCATCTTAGGGCCATCGTGGAAGCTTCTTGGGCCGTCTTGAGCTGACGGAAGCCCGAACAGGCGAGAATGCCAAAAACATTCAAACGTTGCAAGGCAATCAATGGTTTTGGCTCCTTCGGGCCCCGTGGGCAGCCCGCCGAGGGCTTTTCGAGGCCCTCTTGGAGGCATCTTGGGCCGTCTTGTGGCCAGATTCTGTCGCCTCGAGGCCATCCTGGCTCGTCTTCGAGGCACCCTGGTTGCCTACCTGGGCCGTCTCGGAAGCTCGGGGCGCGGGCGCACAGTTTTTCTGCAAAGGGATCTTGGCCTCGGGAGCGCGGCCGCACTTTCCACGGACGCATGTTTCAACGCGGGATCGTAGCTTCGGGAGCCAGGGGGGGGGAATGAATGCAGCTGTCGGGCAGTAGAGGGGGAGAGCGAGGCTCGAGTGATGACGTTTTTGGTGGGACTTCGCTGGAGCTCCCTGTGGGGCCACAGAACGTGTGAGGGTTGTGCCGAGATGGGTGGCGGGAGCGCATGTGGACACCGCCAACGGGGCCTTCGGTTGAGCTCCCCTATGGGGCCACGAAGCGTTTGAGGGGTATGTCGGATGGGGGGGGAGCGCATGTGGACTCCGGCGCTGGAATCTTCGGCGGAGCTCTTTATATGGGGCAGCGGAACGTGTGAGGGGTGCGCCGAAATGGATGGTGGGGACGCGCGTTGACACTGCGATTGGGGCCTTCGGTGAAGCTCATTATGGGGCCACGAAGCGTGCGAAGGATGTGCTAGAATGGCTGGCGGGGACGCATGTGGACACCGCCACTGTGGCCCTCGGTGGAGCTTCGTGTGGGGCCACGAAACGTGTGAGGGGTTGTGCCGAAATGGGTGGCGGGGGGCGCATGTGAACCCTGCCACTCGGGTCTTCGGTGGAGCTCCCCATGGGGCTACGACACGCGTGAGGGCTGCGCCGCAATGGTAGAATGATGCGGAGAGCAGAGGCGCGCAGGGGAGGAGGGAGGGGGGAAAGGAAGGAAGGGAGGAACGCGGGGCGCTGTCTCTTCAAAACGGGGACCCAACACCACAGGACGGTTGGGCGAAACTTCTCCCTCCCTCCCTGGTCTTCAGGGCCTTCGGCTCGTGGGCAGCCGATGTCTCCCAGTGGTCCGCGAGCTGAGAGGCGCCAGGCCCTTGCGCGCACGCGCTGCTTCGGGCAAAGGCGGCGATGAGAAGCAGCCGCGAGTCGGCGCCCGAGCTTCGATTGACGGAGGCTTGGAGAGTGCCTTTCTGTTTCCGGGCGATGGCGGGCGTCAACAATGGGGCGGGGGCGGGGGGGGGCCAGTGCTGTCACGTTTCGCGCCGGCGCCAACAGGGAATGTCTTGCTGTGCCCGAAGACAGTTCGGAGGTCAGCACGAATCGCGAGGTTTCTGGGAGGGGAAGGCGGACGGGGCCGGTAACGCCCGCGATCGAGAAAAACGAAAAAGCTCTCTTGACCTCGCCGTCTGGGCAACCCCAACGCCACACCACACATTCCCCCTTTCTCCCATCCCCCTCTCCTCCCTCTCTCCCCTCCTCCCCCCTCCTGCTTCTCCTGCGCTCGTTCGTCCGTCCTCATCCTCCTGCTTTGGCTTGTGGGGAAGGGAGCCCGAAACTTCAAGACGCAGGGGGTACAGATACAAAGCTTCCCCGAACTGTGGGCAAGCACCATATCCCCTCTTCTCCCCTCCCCCTTTCCTTTCCTTTCTCCCCTCCTCCCCCGGCGCCGCCTCCTGCGCTCGTTCGTCCGTCGTCCTCGCCGTCGCCGTGCGCCGTCGCCAGCGCGGCGGTGGCTGCCGCCGTCCTCTCTGCCAGAACCTCGCGCCCTCGGGGGGCGCGCGCGAGAGGCCAACTTTCAGGAGGCAAAAAAACACACAGACACAATTAATCGTCGACTCTACAGGCTTACGCCACATCCGCCGACCCCTTCTGTGAGTGTTGTGAGACCAGCGGCGTCTTGTGTGAGGGTGCGATGTCGCGCGCGGGTGGTGGCAGATACGTGGGGCATCCAAATGTTTGCGTGATGCCGGTGGTCTGGGGCGTGTTTTGCGAGCGCCTTGCGTGCTATGCACCTGGGTGCGGGGTGTCCTTCTGGGAGGTCGGCCTTTCGACCCGCAACCAAGTGGAGGACCACCGGAAGACGAAAGGAGCAAGAGTGGTGTGCGGAAGCTTTGATCAGCGAGGCATCGCCGCGAAAGATGTGGCAGATGAGTCGAAACGGGTGAAGAGGCTGTTGACGTTCGCAGCGCGCACGGAACAGTTCGCGCGGCAGCAGCACATTAGCGCCGAGCAAGATAGTGAGCAATTCACGAGGAAGAGCAAGGCTGTATGCGCGCAGTGCATTGCAGTTGGCTTCACGGCGCGCAGTACGGAAGCGTCTGGGGGTCTTTGGGGGGCCTTCTGGGGGCCTCTTGGGGGCTCCTTGGGGCGTCTTGGCGGCCTCTTGGGGGCCTCTGGCGGCCTCTTGGGGCATTCTTGGGGGCTCGTGGGGGCGGAAAGCTAGATTTTTGAATTTTTGGTTGCCCTCTTGGGCCCCTCTTGGGCCGTCTCGGGCCATCTTGGGCCGTCGTGGGGCCGTCTTGGGGGCCTCTTGGGCCGTCTTGGGGCGGTCTTCGGGGCCTCTTGGGCCGTCTTGGAGCGTCGGAAAGCCCAGGGGGCGAATTTGTGAAACGTCGACGTTTTACGAAGGAAATGAGCACATTTCTGTGTCTAGGGACCCTCTTGGGGCGTATCTTGGAGGCCTCTTGGGGGCGTCTTGGGCCATCTGGAGGCCATCTCGGATGTCTTCGATCGCTCTTGGACCGTCTGGGACCATGTTGAGCTCTCTTGGAAGCACTTGGAGCGCTCCTGGAGCGCTCTTGGGGCCGTCTTCGGGGCTCTGTTGGGCCGTCTTCGGCCCCTCTTGAGCCGTCTTGGGGCCCTCTTGGGTTGTCTTGGGGCCCTCTTGGGGGCTTCTTGGGCCGTCTTGGGGCGGTCTCGGGGGCCTCTTGGGCCGTCTGGGAGCGTCGGAAAGCCCAATCGGCGAATTTGTGAAACATGTACGTTTTACGATGGGGGCGGGCCATTTTTTGCGTCTAGAGGCCCTCTTGGGACGCATCTTGGATGCCTCTTGGGGCCTCTTGGGGGCATCTTGGGCCGTCTGGAGGCCATCTTCGGTGTCTTTGGTCGCTCTTGGACCGTGTGGGACCATATTGGGTTCTCTTGGAGGCCACTTGGAGCGCTCCTGGAGCGCTCATGGGGCCGTCTTCGGGGCCCTCTTGGGCCGTCTTTGACGCCTGTTGGGCCGTCTTGGGGCCCTCTTGGGCTGTCTTGGGGCCCTCTTGGAGGCTTCTTGGGCCGTCTTGGGGCGGTATTGGGGGCCTCTTGGGCCGTCTGGGAGCATCGGAAAGCCCAGAAGGCGAATTTGTGAAAATTATACGTTTTACGAAGGGAATGGGCCCATGTGTGCGTCTAGGGACCCTCTTGGGGCGCATCTTGGAGGCCTCTTGGGCCGTTTTGGAGGTCTCTTTGCTTGTCTTGGAGTCATCTTGGTCGTTTTGGGCCGCTCGCTTGGCTACTCAAGGCCTTCTTGGACCGTCTCGGAGACCCCTTGGTGCGCTCTTGGCCCGTTTTGGGGCCCTTTGCTCCCCCTTGGCGCGTTCGGCGGGGGGTCGTAGTGGGCGAGGGGGGGGGGGTCAAATCTCCGGTTTCGGGTCCCTTGGGGGGGTTATGGGGGGGGAACTATCTCACACGCCGGATTTCGCCGAAAATGTGGGAAAATAAAGGGAGTGGGGGGGGAGACAAAAAGAACCCAGAAATAAGAAAATATGGGGAATATGTTTGCTTGTGTGTATTTATTTATTTGTGTGTCCTGGGGCCCCTTCAAACTTGGAATCCTAGAGTTCCCTCCTCTCGCTCCCAGGACCCAGGGAAGATTGGAGTGCGCGGTCAAGCACCCGCGATCAGCGTTGTCTCCTCTCCTGCCTCCCTGCATAGATGCCTGCTGGAGCGACGGACGGGCCATAGGTTCCGTCGGAGGCAGGGCCAGTCGCAACAGAGCGTGGTGCAGGCCAGGAGGGTGGACGATCTGCCCCGCCCCCAACCACGTGCTGAGCCGGCTGGTCCCGTCGCACGCACTCTTGGCACACCCAATGCCACACCATACATCTCCCCCTTCTCCCCTCCCCCCCTTCCCCCTCCTGTTCCTCCTGCTTCCTTCTCCCCCTGTTGTGGCGCGGAGGCGCCAGCTGGCCTGCCCCAGGAGAGGGCCATCGTCGTCGTCGTCGGGGGGGGGGGGACCCTACAGGGTGAGGGGAGGAGGCGCCCCTGCTCCTTCTCCTCCTCCTCCTCCTCCTCCTCCTCCTCCTCCTCCTCCTCCTCCTCCTCCTCCTCCTCCTCCCGTCGCCCGAGCGCCTCTGCCTCCCCGCCTCCCCCGCGCCGAAGCCGAGGCTGGGCCCCTCCTCGACGTGCTCGTCGACCTGCCGGCCGCGGCGGCGGACGCGCACCTCGCGCGCACCGCCGAGGATGCGGCGGCGGACGTGCGGGACCGGCTCCTCCTCCTCCTCCTCCTCCTCCTCCTCCTCCTCCTCCTCCTCCTCCTCCTCCTCCTCCGCCTGCCCGCGGCGTGCCTGAGTCGGGGGCCTGGTGTCGCCTACCCTGACCTTCCAGGAGGGCTAAAAGATAGCACGCGACTTAAAAAACACTGATCCCAGGGCTCTTCTACGTCTTGGTTCTAGGCTGTTTCGCTTCGTTGTTTCAGATTGTTAGGCCTCCCGTGCCAAAACACAGCTCTCTGGAAGGTCAGGGTATGCGCGTGGGCAAGAGGGACCCTTCGCTGGAGTGACCGTCGGTGCGGGCCCACTCGGGTCCCCCGACCGCCGAGCGCGGTGCGGTGGTGGCGTCCTGCGCGCTCGCGTGTGGTCCCCCGCGGCCCCCAGAAGGCCGCGCACCAAAGGGCACTCTTGCCCCAGGGTCGCTCAGGAGAGGAAAAAGCACACAGACACAATTCATTTTCGATCCCCCGGAAAATATGAGAAAATATGGGAAGTGGGGGGAAGACAGAAACCCAGAAAATAGGGGAAACATGGGGAGTATTTTCATTTGTGTGTATTTATGTGTGTGTCCTGGGGCCCCTTCAGTCACTCTTGCGCGCAGCCGATACTGACCCAGGGCAGGCCAACCCCGGGTCAGTCGGGCCCTGCAAGATCCTGCAAGATCTGGCAGGATTCTGCAGGATCCTCCACCCAAGCCAGGGTCAAAACGACCCTGGCTCTGCAGGATCTTCAAAATTTGGCGCCCTGACTGACCAATTAGCTCCCCCGTCTTTCGAGCTCCAATTATTCCGACCCCCGGTTGCATTGACCCCCGTCTTTTGAGCTCCAATTATTCCCAACCATCCTGCGGTCCCGTAGCGACTCAGGATGAAAAGCTGGTCCCGGGGAATGGGTCGAGACGTTTGGGGGTCGAAGTCATCACAAAAATCATGACGTCGGGGGCCTGGGAATTAGCAGCGCCCCGCGTCTCCTTCCCCCTCCCTCCCCCCCCCTCCCCCTGCTCCCTCCTCCCTCCTCCCCCATCCCGGTCTCTGCCTTCCTCCGCACGTCCATTTCGGCGCACTCCTCACGCGTCTCGTTGCCCCGTATACGAGGTGCACTGGCGACCCCAGTGGCAGGGTTCGCATGGGGGGCCAGCCCAATTTCGGCGCACCCCTTACACTCGCAGGCCTAGAGGTTGACAACAACATCAATTTCGGCGGCGTGCCTCCACCGAGGGAAGAAGATCCCGATCTCGGTGATGGTGGTAATCGGAGGTTGGGGGGTGAGATCGAAGTGGAACGGAGAGCCCCCCTACCATGAAATCGATTTCGGTTTCGTGTTCGTGCGTGCCGTGCGGGCGAGGCGAAGCTGCGTGGGCGGGCGAGAGAAAGTCTCCTGTGGCTGAGGCGCGGCTGGACCAAATGATTCCCTTCCCGCGGTGTCCCGCCGGTGTCCCGCTGGTGTCCCGTGTGGCTGAGGCGCGGCCGGACCAAATGATTCCCTTCCGGGCGGCCGGGGCCCTGCGGTGTCCCGCCGGTGTCCCGCCGGTGTCCCGCGGTGTCCCGCGGTGTCCCGCGGTGTCTCGCCGGTGTCCCGCCGGTGTCCCGCGGTGTCCCGCGAGGATGATGATGATGAGATGATGATGATGATGATGATGATGATGATGATGATGATGATGATGATGATGATGATGATGATGAGATGATGATGATGGTGTCCCGATGAAGATGATGATGTTGATGATGGTGTCGATGATGATGATAGTGTCCCGATGATGAGGATGATGATGCTCACGATGATTATGTTGATGATGATGACGATGATGGTGTCCCGATGATGATGATGATGATGATGATGATGATGATGATGATGATGATGATGATGATGATGATGATGATGATTCCGATGATGTTGGTGATGATGATGTTGATGGAAATGGTGTCCCGGCGATAATGATGTTGATGATGATGATGTTGATGATGATTATGGTGTCCCGATGATGATGTTGATGATGATGATGATGGTGATGATGATGATGATGGTGATGTTGATGGTGTCCCGATGATGATAAAAATGATAATGACGATGTTGATGATGATGTTGCTCATGATGCTGATGGTGCCCCAATGATGATGCTGATGATGATGTTGTTGTTGATGATGATGATGATGTCGAGGATGATGATCATGATGATGATGGTGTCCCGAGGATGATGACGATGCTGATGATAATCTTGATGATGAGAACGATGGTGATCATGATGGTGTCCCGATTATGATGATGATTCTTATGATGCTGCTGATGATGATGACGATGACTGTGTCCCGATGATGATGATGATGATGATGATGTTGATGATGTTGATGATGAGATGATGATGGTGATGATGATGATGTTGTCCCGATGATGATGCTGACGTTGATGATGATGTTTATGATGATGATGATGATGATGATGATGATGATGATGATGATGATGATGATGATGATGATTATGCTGACGGTGCCCTCATGATGATGACGATGTTGGTGATGATGCTGATGTTGATGATGTTGATGATGATGATGATGATGATGATGATGATGATGATGATGATGATGATGATGACGTCGATTGTGAGAGCGATGGTGATATCGACAGTGAGATCGATATTGAGACCGACTGTGAGATCGATTGTGTGATCGATTGTGAGATCGATTTTGAGATCAATTGTGAGATCGATCGAATGAGATAGATCGAGTGAGATCGATTGTGAGATCGATCGAGTGAGATCGATCGAGCGAGACCGATAGTGAGATCGATACTGAGATCGATAGTGAGACCGATCGAGTGAGACGTTGGTTCCCCCCCCCCCAACCTCCTTATCACCCGAAGGGTGGTCGTATAGGTATTCGGGCTTCCTAGGTGGCCGAACTATTACCACCAACACCGAAATCTAGGATCATCTTCCCCCTGGAGGCAGACCCCTGTGTTGGTGTTGGTGCCCATTTCCAAGTCTCCAACACACGTTTCATGGCCCCATAGGGAGCTCCTCCGAAGGCCCCGGCGGCAGGGTTCGCACCGCGGCCCCGTCACCTTCCGGCACATCCCTCGCACGCCCCGTCGTGGCCCCCATGGGGGCTTCCGCCGAGGGCAGTCGTACCCACAGCGCAGCAGTGGCAGCTGCATCCTTGGGTCCCTCGCCATCGTTTTTTTTGCGCGGGGCCAGCTGGTCTCCTCCTCCTCTTCCTCCTCCTTCTCCTCCTCCTCCTCCTCCTCATCGCCATCGATTCCGCCGATCCGACTCGTTGCCGACTCTGCCCCAGGCGTGCTCGCGTCGCGACTTTAGAGCACGACGGGAGGAGCGGCGCGGGCTCCGGGGCCGTCGCGCAGCGCCGCGGGACGACAGGCCGGGCCTTCGGGGAGGGTCTGGGCGTCCGGGGGCCCCTGGTGAAATTCAGGGGGCCACGTGCGAACCTTACCCCTGCCCCCCACGATTTCTGAGGGGGAGGGTGGGGTTCACTTCGTTCGGGCGCTCTCGAGCGAAGTGAGCCCCACCCTCCCCCTCAGACATCGTGGGGGGCAGGGGTAGGGTTCGCAGGTGGCCCCCTGAAATTAGCCCGGCGAAGTACCCAACCGTGTGCCGTTCGAAGGGGCTCAGTTGTGAGAGTCGTTTTCGGTGGCGCTTCGTATGGGGCATCGAAACGTGTGGGGGGGTTGTGCCGAAATGGAGCGGGGGGGGGCGCATTTGGACCCTCCCCCCAGTGCGGCTTTCGGTGGCGCTTCCTACGGGGCCACGAACGTGTAAGGGGGCTCAGCTGAAAAAGAGCGGGAGCTGCATATGGACTCTGCCACTGGGGCCTTCGGTGGAGCTTCCGATGGGGCCACGAGACGTATGAGGGGTTTGACGAAACAGGGCGGGGGGACGCATGTGGACTGTGCCACTGGGGCCTTCGGTGGAGCTCCTTATGGGGAGGCACGAAGCGTCTGATGGTTGTGCCGAATGTGGGCGGGGGGACGCATGTGGATGGTGCCACTGGCGCCTTCTGTGGAGCTCCCGATGGGGGCACAAAACGTGTGACGGGTGTGCCGAAATGGGGCGGGGGGGCGCAATCGGACTGTGCCACTGGGGCTTGCGGTGGAGCTCCCATTGGGTTACGACACGTTTGACGGGTGTGCCGAAATGGGGCGGGAGGTCACATGTGGATTGTGACTTCGGGGCCTTCGGTGGAGTTCCCGATGGGGCCACGAGACGTGTGACGGGTGTGCCGCAATGGAGCGGGGGGGGCACATGTGGACTGTGCCACTGGGGCCTTCGGAGGAGCTCTCGATGGGGCCACGAAGCGCATGATGGGGTGTGCCGCAAGAGGGCAGGGGGACGCACGTGAGCCTTCTGTGCCGCCGGCCCCTCGGTGGAGCTCCCACCACTGGGGGCCAGGGTAAGTACAGAGGCGCGAGCCGAAGTGGGGCGGGGGGGCGCACAGGGAGGAGGGAGGAGGGAGGAGGGAGGAGGGAGGAGGGAGGAGGGAGGAGGGAGGAGGGAGGAGGTGGGCTGTGCTCGTGCGGCCCTCGAGGGTTCTCCCCGGCACGGCGTGGCACGTCTTCGCGCATCTCGGTGCCGCGGCCCGCCCCTTGTTCGAGTGTGGGCGAGGCTGTGTCCCGCACATATGCTGCGACGGAGGGGGGCCCGTTGCCGCCCGCGCGCAGAAGGCATCGTGCAGGCTGTGCCGCGCGCGTCGGGCGCGCGTGGGCATAGCCGCAGGCAGTTCTGCCCCTCCTCTGCCCCCATGCTCCTTGTCCACCGGTGCTTCTCCTCCTCCTCCTCTCCCTCCTCCTCCTCCTCCTCCTCTCCTCCTCCTCCTCCTCCTCCTCCTCCTCCTCCTCCTCTCCTCTCCTCCTCGCCCCCATCCTCTCGGGCTGGGCGAAAGGGGGGGATTGGGGAAGGGGGGGTTACGAAATCTGCTGCACGCAGCTGGTTTCGGCCTCGCCGAGGGGCCCATTCCTCGATACATAGCCGCCTCCGGCGCCGG